CCTAAGGCGTTCTTCATAACTGCTGTGCTTTTTTTTCTTCCCTGGAGCTGTTCAGTGTCACACTATGGACCACATGTAATCACGTGGTCTGTTCTCAAGTACAATAACTCTAATGACTCACAAACAGTGGCTGTGCGTCTTCAAATCCATACCCATCATGAAGAAGACTATAAATGTAGGTTAAATCGTGACACTGCCATGGCATCCAGTGAAAACCTTTCAACTCTTCCGGTCCTCGTAAGCAAGGCTGCAAATTTCTCGACGTTAATGGAGGGACGTAACTGCAGTAATTTCATGGCGAAATGAATTGTAAGGGAGGAGAAAAAATATGATGAATTCACCTTTCTGCGCAGCCCTTTTGAAATCTTCCAATTTGATTTTACCTCCTTGGTTTTCTTTGACAAGACCAGCATTCAGGCCACGGTCGAAAAAATATGAGAACAAGTAGATTAACTTCCCACGTAGCGCTTAAATAGTATTGTAAGGGAATGATATTAGTCCTGTGCAAGCGAAACTAGGGCCCAGGTACCACAAAATTCCAAAATTTTGCTAAACAAGGGGCAAATTTCGTGCTCGAGGAAAGAGATTCGTGCGAGTTCGAAGAAGATGCGAATTTAAAGGCACATTCCGCGCTGGTTGTACGGGCTATGTCACTTGGCTCTATGGGCTATCGTCATTGGGCGCGCTCCACCTTGCTCACTCCCTACCCCCACTACAGCCAGAGGGGACAGAAAACACCTGTTGAAGCGAATCCGCTGACAGGTGCGGGGAAGCGCCTTTAAGGTAGCTGTCAAAACAAAAGTGAATGAAAAAAGATACAAAGCGTACCTGTTAGCTTCATAATACCGCTTCGTTCAACAAAATTACGTGTGGCGGTATAACAGGATGTGAATGAGTAAACTGGATGATCCCCTTAACATAGAAAGCTAAGAATAATTGTAAAATAAGATAGGTGCAAGGGTGAGCAACTGAGACAAATAAATAACTTTTACTACTCTGAAATTTGTTGTTCCATCGAATTTCACCATAAAGAAACTGTTTAGCCCAGAGTTTAGCAATTTTTTTTAAAGATTTCATGGTCAATTTCCGACACTATACTACTTTTCCCCGCTGGAATTCATACCTGATCTTCCACTTTTTGAGAGCATACTCCCAGTTCGGAAGCTCGAAGCCAGCAGGCATACAGGGTGAGTCGAGCTGCGATTTTGATGTCGTGCTCATCCCCGGATTCTTGAAGCAGCACATTTAGACGTGCAGCAACCAGACCGTTACCGAGAAAGCTGAAACAAAAATAGCTTACTGGTACAAGGAACCTGCAGGTTAGCACGGATCGAGCTAGAAATTTATAGAACTAGATCATCTAAAAAATGTAAACTGTGGGCATTGTTCACTATTCACAAACACGCCTTTTCGAAACTCGCGAATTTTGACAAATACCTGGGAAAAACTGAGAACAGGGTAAAACTAGATGGAAATTTGTCCGTTCAAAAGTCACTGGACCGTGCAAAACTGCTCACAAGTGCCGATCTTAAAGCGCCCTAGACCACCGAGTACGACGAAAACCCATCCTTAGACTCTATGAACACGAATGTCGCATCCTGTGAAATCACACGGCGTTCGCGTAGCACGCAAAAGACATATCTGCACGAGTCAAACCATACTACCCTCGAGGACAATTTTTCTAGCTAAATCTACCTATGAGGATTATCGTCGTCGCAAATGATGCCCGGTCGACCCCTACCTTAGGGTGAGGGGAGGGGGCAAAGAATTGTATTGTAAACAAGTATACCCGCTTAGTTGGGACAGTTACCATCTGTATTTTGCCAGATAAAGGACTACACACCGCTTTTCTCTGTTTCTATCACATCTATCGAATAACCGAAATATTTGGTCTAAAAAGATCAATCAATGCTCCCGTGCACCCACAATAGGGATTAATACGAATAAAAAATGGAGTATAAATTTAAAAGGTAGTCGCAAAAGGTGAATGGTGTCAAAATACATTATTATTAAAAATTATTATTATTATTATTATTATTTTGCTAGACATACAAAACGAATAAGATATTTGTAAAAATTCACCTGTGCGTGAATAAACGCATGCGATATCCAAAGAAATTTATGTCCCTCTCGTAATCCGGGTACAAATCGAACATATGCCTGTCTTCAGGCCAAAAAGTGAGTTGAGTTGAACCACCTCCCAAATCGAAAGCAGCAACACTTCGAGATGCCTCGGGGTGATATGGATGAATAGCATCATCTTCAATTAAAAATTATTAGTAAATTAAGTCCTAAGCCGTTTTCAAATAACCTTTTAACTCTTAACTACCATAACGAACCCGAGTAGAGCTTATTTAGAAGAAGATTCAATGTAAACCAGCTGTACATCCCTTCATCTGATCCACTCATAATGCTGACCGCATCAGGTACAACGAAGAAACCGCTATTAGCAATAACCTCCTCAACCTAAAATATCCTTTAACAAAGAAACTTCCTCATGAGATCTCACACAACCCTGGTTTGAAAACGGCGCAGTTCGGCGAGGGGGAGGGGGCATTTTGCACTTTCGGTGCTTCACTAGTTCCAGTTCACAAGTTTCACTCTGATAAAACCTGTAAAATCCTGCGAAAGTGAAGCAAGCTTATTGAGCCACCATGGTGGAAACTGTCAACTCTTGTAATCTCAAGATTGAGCTCTAGGGAAGGTCGAAATTGATGTTAAGCAGCGAAAGTGCAAAATGGCTCTCCCTCCCGTCGCCGAACTGCGTCTTGAAAACTTTTAATTCATTTACGTGATGTTAAGAAGATAATTCCTCGTAGAAATGCAGGTGACCAGTACAAAAATAGAGCAAATACTCACTGCATCTAGAATATCGTCAGCTAGATCACCAGGCAGTAAACGGAGACCAGCTGTTGCTTTCAAGGTGATAGGGGTTTTATCCCACATGAAAAGAGGAATATGCGTCTGTGCTGTTTCCAGAAGACTTCGAATGGAGGCACCAGCTGCAGAAGGATCATCAATAAATGACGATAACCCTGGTTTCGCCTGAAACACTCAAAGTTGAGCGAATAAGCCGAAAAGGTCCTTCATGAAAATGGACTCAGATCAGTATCACCCATTACGAAAAGGTGGGCTTGTATGCAAATCCTTTGGCGCTCTGAATAACTGTTGATTTACGAGGTAAAAATTTGGCCAATATTGAACAGAAGAAATGGGGGCGCTAACGTCTTCAGTGGTATCTGAAATCCCATACCGCCTCTGTGTCTCTTTTCTAACCAAAGTCAGACATAACACGCGGACAATAAGACCGCGCTCAGAGTTAGCTGATCGCTCGAGCGATTGGATCACGCGATCACGAAGCGGGGCACTTCACCGCCAAACGGTGCACCACCGCAACTGCAGAATTCAAATTGGGCCACGTTCACAAATGACAGTTCGGGGCACATCGTTGTTGGGGAATCCCCAATAGGGGGGTCGTATTTGGCCGCCAGGAGAGGGGGGTCGTATTTGGGCTGGGAAAAATTTATTTTGATAGTTGATTTTTCTCGCTTCACGGACGTTGTAAAAAAGGGAGTCGTACTTGGTCATTGTTGGGAGGGGGATGGGTCGTATTTACGTTTTGGCGTTGTAGGAGTGGTGGTTGACTTTTGGTGATTCTCCTTCATGCGTACTATATGCCCCCCTCGTATTTTCTCGCTGCTTTTCCTGTTTCACATGTGCTATTTATCTTCCCCCCCCCCCCTTGAGGGCTCGATTCGTTGAGGAACAGAGGGCCGGAAGGATGGGGGTCATACAGACTGACTAAAATCCCCAACCAATGATGTGCCCTGTGCCATTTTGAATTGTGCCGTTGCGGCGGTGAGCCTCCCCCCCCCCGATCGTGGTCGCGTGATCCACTGCTGAGCGACCTTATCGCGAAGTCTGAACGCGGCGCAAGAGCTGCTATGGGCTACTCTCGAAGAACAGTCATCTCTAGGTGACTCTGATCGCATGGGTCATGGGTCTAAGCCTTTGGGGTTGAGGGACGAGACACAAAGGCGCTGCGTAGTGCCTTCTGGAATAACTCCGCAAACCATGTGTGCTTACCTCTTTAAAGATCTCTTCTTCAACTTTGAACGGTATTCCATTACGATCCGTATTATGAACGTATCTATACAACTGCAATCGAGTACCCGTTGATCCCGCATCAAAAACTATCGCGAAAAATCTGCACGGGACACCCTGAAACCATGTCAGATTCAAGATAGCAGCATAATGGTACTGTCACGGGCAATATGTTGTTCCACTATGGCATGTAAACACTATCACGCCAAATGATAACAAGGAACAGCCCGACAGATTCATGGTTAAAACAAAAGAAAACGGTCAAGAACCGATTACGCGATTACTGACATAGTGTGATATATCCCACAGCACGAACTGCGAAAAACAAGGATGGCTGATAAAAAGCACATAACTTCCGAAATTGCACTCTCTTATCAGCAACCCACAATAAACCCATTTGTTGCATACAACAACCGCTGGATTGATTTTGACATTGGTCTTAGGACTGATAAAAGGATAAAGGATAAAGTCTTCGCCGTTGATCAATCCCTTTGTGGGATGCGGCACGCATTCTACTTCCATTCAGAATCGTAGTGGCTTATTGAATGCGATGTGGCCTATACAATGACTTGCGGTGGCCAGCCGATGTACAAGTCAGTGTTTTATCCTCCCAGACGAATCTGGTACCAATTTACCGTCCCCGGAGGGTAGAAGGCTTGGTTGGCCTGGGCGGGTGTCGACCTGGGATTCGAACCCAGGACCGCGCGAGTGGTAAGCGCGCCACTTGTCACTACACCACCTCCGCCTCTTCTACACCACC